ACTATTCCTATCTATACATATCTAATCTTTGTTATTACAGTACACCTTTTTTTTTTTAGGGATTACAGAAACCTTTAAATTATGTTTAGAATTAGAAATTTTGTAAGAATTGACTTTTGGTCGTTGTTAGCCAATCTTGTATATTGTAGAATATAATGAAATAAACCTGTTCTTGTCGCTACGTTTTTGTCTATTATCGACCCGGTATAATATGTGAATTTAAACCCTCAAATAAAATGTTTAGACCATAGAAAATCTACGTGAAATAGGCATTCCAAAACCGCAAAAATCATCAAAAACCGTCAATCCAATGTCAACTCATAGCATTTTAAAAATTTTTCTATCTAAATTTTATGTTTAGTAGTATATACAAGACCTAAGGGCCTTAATACAAAAACTGACAAAAATGTTTTTAGAGATATTGATGTTACCTTAGTAACGAAACATATTGCAACGACCAAAACAAATTTTTGCTGCAATTTCACTCATACAAACTTTTTGATTTTTTGCATGACTTCACTGATCACCCTGTATATAATAAATCTATGTTCCTACGATAAATATAAGTCATGTAGCTCAATCCGAAAAATAAATAGCTCTTAAAATCTGGAAGCCGCGTTTAAACATTTGCATTTCTGTTGAAAAAATTGAACTTTAAATTTTGCCTAAAAATTTGTATGTGTAAGTTCGAGTGGCCAGCAGTTTACATAGTGAACACCAACATTTTAGAAGTTGTTAACATATTTTCCTTATTAAAGCGATGTGAATGTGTATACAGGAAGGAGGAGGTCATTTTAAATATTTCTTAAATTAAATTATTGTATTTTAATATTACTAGTGGTAATTTATTAATAAATTTGATTTTGATATTTTTGCAAACTTAGAATTCACATTGAATATTTTAAAGTTGTCATTTCAAGTAGCTGTATCGTCTAATCCCAACATTTTATAAACAAATACTTGGTGGCAAAAAAGTTTAAAAATGGATGTTGCATTTCATTGACGTCCAATTTTATACTACAACAAAGTTGTGTGGATGGTCAAAAGGGCGGTGGCTTTCTCCAAAAATCTACAAAAATCGAGAAAAAATATTGCCTCTCCCTCGATTTTATTACTAATTATATTCTACATATAAAATTTCATTACAAAATTTTAAATTGTTTAAAAGCAACGTTAAAAAAATTCATTTAAATTCTTTAACCTAAACTTTTTGTTTGCACTTTTGTACATAGGTAGGTATGTGAGATTCAATCAAATAAGTACTGATTAAAATTTTTTTTGTAAACATAAAAATATAATAAGATGTTTAAAAAATAATAACGAAATAGAAGATAATAATCAATAATAACCCGGGAATAAAGAAAGCATAATATATTTAACTTCATAAAAAAAAGTAGTAAAGAAAGCACAAAACTGATGTCGATATCTATAAAAAACATAAAGTAGTTTTATTTAAGATAAAGAACAACAACTATAACCCAAGAAGATCAACAAAAAAATCAAAAATAAGGTGTAAGAACCATAAATAAACAGGATATTCCTAAAATTTATGGTAAAATCAAAAAGTAATAAAAATAATCTTTAAATATGTCAACAAGCACCTTTAATAATTATTAAAACAAACAAAATTAAATAATTAAATTTGATTATGTATTTTAAATAATTGTTCCGTATTTTTGTTCTTTAAAATGTTAAAACTATATTTTTTTGTATTTGTTCAACAAAAATCTATAACCCAAATAATATATTTTATAATGTGGCTGAAGCTAGCAGACAAACCGCAAGGCGGTCCCTTAATATTTTGATATTGTTATTCGGCAAAATCTTTGGTATAGGTGGACTTTAGTATTATGAAAGTTTAAAAATAAATAAAAATTAGTGTATTTATTGAAAAAAATGGATTAATTCAATTTGAATTAGTAGTTAAAACAACATAATCTTACAGAAAGACTGGGACGAAACAAACACATTTACAATTCGATTATAAATATAATTTTTATACCAAATATTCATTAGGTTTTTGTTAATTGTTTAAACAAAAAATTATGGCTGAGAAATGATTTAAATTATGTTTTTATGGTCTCTTTATAGTCAGGTGTTTTGTCTTCAAAGAGACCAAAAAAACACATTTAGCACAAGATTACAAATACAATTTTTAAACCAATTGTTTAGTACACTATTAGCTATAAATTAATAAAAAATCATTAAATAGCAAGACATCTAAATATAGTGATTAGGTCTTTAAAGTCAAGCGTTTCCGCTTAATAAAACCAACAAAAATAAGCATGTAACACAAGATCCCAAATACATTTTTTATACCAAAAATTCAATAAACAAGTATCAATAAAAAAATAATAAATCATCAAATAGCAATACCTCGAAATACATTTTTTATATTTGAAGTTCTTACTATTTAATAAGTTATTATTTATTTGAATTATATTAATGTATTGAGTCATTCATACAAAAATTATACCTGAATTTTCGTGGTAAGTAATGATTTTTGTCATTTTGACAAAGTAAGGTTTAACTATATTTAGATGTCTTGCTATTTAATGATTTTTTATTTAGTTTATAGCTAGTAGTGTACTAAACAATTGGTATAAAAATTGTATTTGTAATCTCGTAATAAATTTATTTTTTTGGTCTCTTTGTTCTCATAGTCACAAAACACTTGACTTTAAAAAAGAGCAACAAAAACATATTTTAAATCATTGCTCGGCCATAATTTCTTGTTTAATCAATTACTAAAAACCTAATGAATATATTTGGTATAAAAATTATATTTATAATTGCATTATAACTGTTTGTTTCATCTCAGTCTTTCTGTAAGATTATGTTGTTTTCACTAATAATTCAAATTGAATTATTGCATTTTTTTCAATAAATGCACTAATTTTTATTTATTCCTAAACTTTCATGATACTAGAGTCCACCTAAACCAAAGATTTTGCCAAATAACAATATCAAAATATTAAGGGACCGCCGCGCGGTTTGTCTGCTAGCTTCAGCTTCATTATTTACTAAAGTCCACCTAAACCAAATATTTTGCCGAATAACAATATCAAAACATTAAGGGACTGCCGCGCGGTTTGTCTGTTAGTTTGTCTGATATACGTAAAATCCATTTTGTATTTTCTCTAGAAGTACTAAAATTAATAGAATCATCTAGTATATTTAATAATCATATTTAAAAATTTATAGAAATTTACCTCTTTACCAAGTTGTACCCCTAAAGAGTTACGGAAGCCTAAAATGGGGCCATAAATTTCGAAAAAAACCTAATAGCTTTGCAACCGTTTAACTTAAAAAATCAATGTTTGGTAAGTTATTTAGGCGCTTAATGTGAGGGTGAGTGTTAGAATTATTAGAAATATTTTAAGGAATAGTTTTGGGGTAATTCACCCTTATAAATATACAGAACTTTTTAGTCCATGGATTGATTTTTACTATTTTAATTTAATTTTTTGCAAAATTATATTTTGAATCTGTTTTTACTCTTTTTATTTTTTAATAACTTAATATTTTTCAAGAAAAATGTGAAAAATTAAATCAATGCATTATGACAATGTTAATACAAAAAACACTTGAAACTTTAGTTGGCAATGAATTTCTCAATTAAATTAAACAAATAGTAAACTACTTTTAATAAAATCGATAAGCGCCTAAATAATTTACAAATAGATATTTTTTTATGTTAAACGGTTGCAGAGATATAAATTTTTTTGGAAACTTATGGCTTTACTTTAGGCTTTCCTAACTCCTTAGGAGTACAACTTGATATAAAGGCAAATTATTGCGTTAAATCATCATATTTTGGGGTACCCAACACGTACCTGTTCTGTGTCGGTATTTATGCCGAACACCCTGTATATACCAGCTATATAAATAGGTCAAGAAATGTATTTCTTTTGTAAAAAGTTTCGACCAATTTCTGGCGAATACAATGTGTTCAAGAATAAAAAAAATGAATTAAAATTTCTTTATCACTTGTAAATTTATAATCAAGAGTCAAATTTGTAAGTATCCTTAATTCGAAATCATTTAAAAACAAAATACAATAATTTAAATCAAATATATTTTTAATTCCCATTATCATTTTCCATTAATATTTTATTCTACCTACATAAAAATTTAAAAGTAATTTTTTTTTTCAATATAAATAAATCTTTTGTATTATTCCTGTAAACCAATTAGTTAACTAACATTTTATAAATTTTCAACTTAAATATGTCCAAGTAATGCTGATCTATTTATCGAGATTTTTTTTGTTTAGAAACATTATTGCCGTTTGTCAAAAACTTTTTGAGACACTCCGTATAATGCTTAAAATATAATTTATTTATCATCAGTAAAATAATAAAATTTATAGAATGTGCAACAATTTAAAAATCAGTATTAAAATCGTACTTTTTGTATTCATGTAATAAACCATAGGGAATTTATTTTATCAAAATGAAATTTCATCAATTGTTTTCATAAATAATATTCAAAATTGCTCGTATAATCCCTATTTTTTCTGCCAAAAGATAACTGAAATGAAATCAAAATATTACAATAACCAAGTTATTAAAATCAAAGCCATTGTTTTAATTGAAACATCCATATTTCATTTCCAGATAGATAATAATAAAATATATTACTGATAAAAGTGTCATAAAAGGCCAATAAACAAGAGGAATCAATTAATAAATTTTTAAACAGAGGAAACAGATAAAATTCTCATAATTTCAAATTTATTGATAGGAATTAATTGAATTTATTGTCTTCAATACGGAGCAACATTCTGAAAACCAAAAGAAATAAAAGAAAACAAAATAACACAACAAAATCTTATATTTTTCTGTACGCATATAAATAATCTCACATTTCTTTGATATCCAAGTAAAACAACATTTTGAAGTACCGTTCCTATAAACTATAGAAATATGCACCCCAAATTAGTAATACTCACAATTATAATATAAAATCTAGCTAAATCAGTCTTTTGACCATGTATACTCCAATATTCGTCAATAAGTATTAACTTTAATCCTAAGAATTATGCACAATATTCACAAAAACTTGACTATGAGCCAAATATCACACAGGGACTTTTTTATATACAAGATATAACCGTTCACAGCACTTTAAAAGTTGCCTACTTGAGCAACTCTCACTTTAACGTCAGTACCATCAAACAAGTCTTTGGTTTCATTTTATTTAAACGTCAGTACCGCAACCCTCTTGGTACCCCTCATCTGGAGAGTTCCTTGAATTCGTAAGCACCCGTTTTAAAGCCGTTACTGGAGGTAAAACTGGTACGGCTCCTTTTTGCCACACCCTTAACGTTTTTGCGTTCACCGGTAAATTAACTTGCGAAGCTGGTATCGATATGTTGTCAGTTTTCGTCTCAGCTATGGGAAGACCGTAATCTGAAGGATATGCAGCTAGTCTGTTAGTGCCTTGAGCTAAACGGAAATTCAGTTCTTCTGCGGAACCCCCTGTACTAGTACCGTCATGCATTATGGGAGTTTTATCGTTATACTGGAAGTTGGCATTTGTAGGAGCTGTCTCGCTATCCCACAAACCAGACGGGTAGAGAGAATCTTGATTTCTGCTGTATTCTCCGCTCATAGGTCTATCAAACTGATTTTCAACTGATAGTTCTCCCCCTTTGGTGTCGTTAATTAAATCTGGATTGTTTCCTGAAGCTGAAGAGGGCGATACAAAGCAAGAGCTAGTAACTATACTTCCGTGTCCACTATAGTGCACTGTGGAGTAAGGAATATCGTTCAGTCTAGGAGGCTTTTGGACTGGGTTGCAAAAATTTAGCTCTGCAGGTGGTTTTCTTTCAGTAAACGAAGAAGTTTCTTCTGGTGTACTCATCGGAGACACTGATTTTCCGTTAGGAATGTTACCTCCATTTACAACGGTCACTACTTCGATTTGACCTGGAGTTTTACTTTCAGCAAACGGTAATCTTCTTAACCTGAGCAGCAAAATTGATATCACTATTAATATGAAGAGAATAAGAAATACGAGAGCTGCACTTAGTCCGGCAATCTGTCCATTCCCTAACGAAGTTATCCCCAACGGTCTTAGAGAGACTCTCAAAGTAAAATTAGCTTCAGAACTCCCGGCACGATTTTCAGCTACACAATAAAATTCGGTTACATCTCCTTCTTGGACATTAGTGACAACCAAGCTGCTTCGTTTCTCTTGCTTTCCATCTTCAAAAATGTAAATCATCTGATGGGGTGAGAAAAACGAGTTATTTACTAGTAATTTTCCGTTCCAGTACCACCTTACTTGAGCTGTTGGTATAGCGTTAATTCTGCAAGTAACGGTAGCGTTGTCCTCTGATACGGCTTCTATGAATCTGCTGGCAGGTAGTATCTCAGGTTTGCAAGCAAAATCATCGATATGTAATTCGGCAAAAGTTTTGTGTATAACTCTTTCTGGACCGCCGTTGCATCTCGCATGCTCCGGATAAGGGATGTTGTTTCTAACCAACCACTCTTTTACTGAGCGCAGGCGGCAATCACAATGCCAGGGGTTGTCGTGTAGTTCGACGCCATGGAGTCTACTCAGGGTTTCCACTGTTCGTAATCGAAGTTCAGATAAGTGATTTCCGTTGAGTTTAAGAGATTCTAGCATTTCAATGCCTTCGAATGCTTTTGGAGCTACATTTTGAATCTCGCAATTGCTTATGTCAAGTTTGACCAGGCCGTGAACAGCTTGGAAAGCCTGCGATTCAATTTTTTGTATCGGGTTATTGGAGATTATAAGATCTCTTAGGAACGGAATGTCTTTAAAAGTTCCAGAAGGAATACTGGTGAGCAAATTATGAGATAGATCTAATTCAATGAGATTGGTGAGTCCTCTAAAGGCTAGGTTGTCAATTTGGCCTATACGGCAGCTGCGCAGGAAAACTCTTTGTAGGTTAATGAGTCCGGTACGGTTGAACGTTTCTCTATGAAGAATTTGAAGGTTGTTTCCGGATAAATCCAGTACTTGAGTTTCGGGATCTATACTATCCGGAATTGTTATAAGTCCTCGTTCCATACACTCCACTGTTTGTTTACCACCCTTCCATTTGCACGTGCAAGCGGCGGGACAAATGCCGCTCATAGCACTTATACTGATAATCGGCACAAAAGTCACCAGCACTAAAATACGTAGCGATAGCGACATGGTTACATCGGTAGATACGATACGTTCGCACGATTCGGATGCCGAAGACTGACTGAGGATTTCGTTGTATGTTGAGTATACGGTTCGGTGTTCGGTTCGGCCTGTTCTTGTGGGGTTTGCGCACTACGATGGGTCTAAGAGCCGCATGAACGTACTGATTTTTACTTCGACCCTCTTTTATTATTGCATTCTTAGTGTAAATGAATTATTTTTGGATGCAGGCGGGCGTACGAGGGGATTTCGCGATGGGGTGTGGGTTATGGGCGCGTGTCCGAGTCTTATGAATGAGATGTGATTTAGGTGAAACGTAAAAATGTTGCGGTGAAAGGTTCTAATCCATTGATCGTAAATTTCAAGTAAATAGAATTTAAATTAATTTGATTCCTATTAGTTCTTTTTTTGTATTAAATATGCATTTAATTTTTATATGCAGGCAGTATCGCACTAAGGAAAATTTTATAAAATATCAATTTTTGATGATAGCAGTTTATAATAATTAGTTTTTTTAAACCAACAGAAATAGACACGATAATTTTCTTACAGTAATGAGGATAAATGACTGAAAAAAAAACAAAAATGTCCAGAATAGGTTTTATAAGAAGCGGACAGGAATTTATAGTAAAAAGTTCTAAATATTTGTAGAACATTTATTATAGAATTATTCTCTATAATATATACTCGGAGTAAAAAAAAAATTACAAATTATTATAATTTTTTGTTATTGACGTGAATTATATTTATGTGGGAACACTATCTATATCTGACAAACTAATAAATGGATTTGGTTAAAAATTGCTGAGAATAGTAAACATATTTTGATTAACTAATGGGACCATTAAGTTCTTAAAATCTTGACCTTTATAATATTCAATATGAAATTGGCCCTTGATAAAATTGTACATAGATTTCATGTATGAATTAAAATTGAAAAATCTCGGAAATTGAATGTTCTACAGAGATCAACCAAGAGTCCCTTTTTTGTGATAAATTGCATGACGAATATGTACTAATCTCAACTTTTATAAAATATGAAGTGTTAAAAAATTTGGCTGAAAATATTTTCTTATCCCTTGATTCTAGCTCAATGGCTATAGAAATAGGGTGTGTTAACTAATAATGACGATAAACTAACATATAATACATATTTTTATGTTGAAATCTATATCGTTAGGGAAGATATTTAGAAAATTATGAATTTATGAAATTCATTTTATCACCCTGAAGAATGAAAACGGGGGCGTTTACAGGAAAATTATATTTAGGTTAAGATCTACAAGCCCCCTCTGTTTACGGTACTTTGTTCTGAAACAATCTGTATATTAAAATTGGTTTTCCAGTCCAGATAGAGTTTTTTGTTATAGTTTACAACTACAGAAAGTCCCACTCCTCTGCCATACAAATTACGATTTGCATTGCCAAAAACTTTACTTTTGCCATTTTAAAATTATCATATTTGTATTTAGTTTGTTCTATAGATCTTATTGAATTGCAACTTCAAAATTTGTCTATAATCAAAAGAAAATTAAAAAATCATACAATTGACTGGGTAACATTGTTTTGTTTCCTATTGTATTTTTATTTTTTTTTTATTATATTATGAAGTATAATGATAATTCTTCTTTAGAATTTTATTTTCATTGAATTCTTTTATTTTGCTTCTATAGATGGATGATGGTATGGGCGAAACTATATAGTTTTATTTGGGAATTTTATTCACAAGAACAAGCACTTCAGCGGATTTAAAATTAATTACAATGTGCCCCTTATCACATAAATATATTATAACCTCTTTTATTTAGGACTATTATTTTAGTGACATGTTCAATATTATTAAAAATAGTGTTTCCAACAACGTTAAAAACAATATAATTATATTACGAGGGTGAAAAGTAACATTTTTCACGAGTTTAAAAAATCTATGACGTAGCCAGATTACAAAACACGTCGTTTTATAAATTGCCTAGGCGTTTTATAAATAACGGTCAAATTGTCAAAGATTCGTTTACCTTTCATTATTTTACTATCTGGCTTATCCAGGGGTCCGCTTAAAGCTGTGTTAAACCATTCTTGAAGTTCGAAATGGAATAGGTATACTAGATAGGAACTGAACATGGGCTTTAAATCGATGGTTTTCTAGAGACCAACTCAACTCAATTGGTACGTCAAACTTAAATCCAAAAAATACCAGTATTACGTTAAAAAAAGCTATTTCTAAGGCTTTTTAATTTGGGGGACAAGAGTTTAACGAAAGCCAGTGAAAACCTGATAAAGTTTAAATGCTGTACAGAACAATGTCTAGGAAAAATACCACATTTCAATGATCTATGTTCTAATAAATAAAATATGCTTGAGAAATACGGTTTTGCTGGGTTGCCTATTAAAATATCGCCATAAGTACTTTTAATAGTACTTGTGTCTACTTTAAGGTGTGTTTCTCTTATAGAAGAAAATGCTTTTAATAAAAGTTGTTCGTGATGCTATTCTCTATAATTTTGGTCATATAAATGATTTCTCTAAAATGGAATATAATTGAGAAATTTGAGGAAAAGTGCAAATATTTCTAAAAAGTAAATATTGAGTGGGGTCCATCAAATACAAAAATGAATTTCAAATAAAAATTATTTAAAACATTATTTGATAACTTTGTTTCCAACAAAAATACTGAAAAAATCAAATTTTGCACTTTTCTTCAAATTTCTCCATTACGGTCCATGTATTAAAAAATCACGTATTTGACCAAAATTAGAGAAAATAATATCACAAACAAATCTGGTTGAAAGAATTTTCTTCTATTATCATAAATAACAAAAATAATATACCTTTCAATAATATTAGAAAGCCATATTTTGAAAATTGTATTTTGATTAAAAAATAGTGCACAAATCATACGGTCGGATCTAAGACTATTATTGGTTTTTTTAAGCTTAGCAAATATTTTATCTTTTTAATTTCTTCTTCAGTTTTTTGTTCTGTTTATTAGAAAAATATGTAAACTATTTGTTATAAAATGTTTTAATTCCCATAAATCCATGAATAAAAATTTTGATGGCCCTAAATTTAAAGTAAAAATCGTATTTTATAGAACGACCAAAACACTTTACCCTCCAGAATGTCAAGCAGAATATAATTTTAAACAGTTGACAATCTGGCCATATGTTAACCGTCATTTTATAAAACACCTAGGCATTTTACAATACGACCAGCTAGATTGGAAAATAATGAATGTTAAACGAGAATTTGACAAACTGGCCGCCTTTTGTAAAATGTCTAGACATTTTATAAAACGACGGATTTTGCAATTTTGCTACGACATAAACACAATATTTTTCCTATAATCACAAAAAAAAATCATCAAAAAAGGAAAAAATCCATGAATTCTTTTATATATAATTTAATTTACAAACACTTTCATAGATTTCATAAATGTAAAATAAAATAAGTTATCAAAATATTAAAATACTATAATGTTTTTTATTATATTTTTTTAAATTCAACAAATAATAAGAGGGTCAACCGTAAATAAGAACTTTTTAACTAGATGATTACCTATTTAACAGTACTTAATAGTAATCAAAATAGTACGAAATAAATAGTAGAAAGACTATCGAATTGCCTAACTGTAGGGGTTATATTATGATAAATAAAATGTATTTAAAATAAATAACAGTCTTGTTTTCATATTAATTGCTTCCATCGAGAATTGAACCAATATCGCGAAATTCAAAGTTGATAAAGTTGAACACTCAATGGACTGAGACATCAAGCTTATGTCAAGTACATAAATTACCCAGAAAAAAATACGTAAAATGCAGTTACTCTTAAATTGATTTATTAATTGTTAAAAATAAATATCTAGAATCTTGGTATAAAAATCAATGTTAACAATGTAATCGTCAAATCGATTTTACTATTAATTTCGATAGTATACATCAAAATAGAAATGATGGCAAAAAAAAGATTCTTATCCAAATGCTTGTGATAAAGGACACTTACCATAAGACTAAATGGTGCGATATATATCACTTTCCTAATTGGTCATAGAAAAAGACTGTAAAAGTACCTCTGCTTTGAAGTTGCAAAACACTAACAAAAATGTTATAGTTACTTTGGTTAAAGTTACTTTATCATGTTTATTATGAGAATGGTCGTTAAACTCCTAATGTGAAAATAGTTTTTGATAGGATCACTTAGGAAAATGACACATATTTAGTATTACGGTAAGTCTGTAACGGTTGGAACCGTTTTCGTTATTTTTACACAAACATCACTACTCAAATGTCATTTGTCCTTTATGCCTTGTGTCAAAAGTTCCAATTTCATTTTCATTTGAATCTGTCAACGAATCAAGTTGATTTGAATTTTAATATATCTTGGCCATCCGATATACTAATTGATTTCTAATATTCTTATTGGCCGTCTGATTTTATAAGGTAAGCTTTAATACCGATATATTGTTGAAAATATATATTTTGTACAAAAATTTCTTAAATGAAATGTAAAATTTTAAACATAACCTCAATACATGAATAACACAAGGATAACACGTTTTATATAATTTTATATATTATTTTGTTTGGAATGAGATATTATGCTTTACTATATTTAAATATGTTAAATAAGATTTTTCCTTTTCATATTAATTTTAGTATCTGTAAAATTATTCAATTAATAGTTCACTTTATTAATTAAAGGCATTTTATCTGGTTCCTGTGCAAATTTCCTATTTCCTTTCTTAACATTTTTACCTTTTTTCTTTTAGCATGGCTATATCTAGACGGTTGACGGTTTAGTTCAAGCTGTATTTAAGAAGTTTAGTACGAGTTATATCTAAAGAGGTTTATTTCGAGTTATATCAGGAAGTTTAATTCAAGTTATATCAAGAAGTTTATTTCGAGTTATATTAAGAAGTTTAGTACGAGTTGTATCTAAGAAGTTTATTTCGAGTTCTATCAAGAAGTTTATTTTAAGTTATTTCTAAAACAGTTGATGGAGATTTGTATCTGAACGATTTATATCAAGAAGTTTATGAAGATTTATACCTAAGA